ACTTATCTCCATACTGAGAGTTTAAGCAGCTGTGATGGCCGAGTGGTTAAGGCGTTGGACTCGAAATCCAATGGGGTCTCCCCGCGCAGGTTCAAACCCTGCTCACAGCGGTACATTTGAAGGCTGTAGTTTAGAGGATTCAAGGCCAGGATGTGTAAAGAAGTACATGAAATAAATAATCTTGCCAACTCTTTTACCCTGCTGAAGGAATCAGCCAAAAGAAGCTTTATATCTTCAATGAAGCATAACCATGGTGCCATGGATCCAGGCTGCACAAGGTGGAAGATCTCATCCAGTGATTGTTGTAAAGAATCCTCGCACAGCATTTGTGTTAATATTTTACTTTAAAAATTCAGATTTAAATAAAGCATTATACGATTATGCTTTTGTGAATACTTCAGAAACTAATTTATCTCCATTACTGTGGAGCAACAAGCTGTGATGGCCGAGAGGTTAAGGCGTTGGACTCGAAATCCAATGGGGTCTCCCCGCGCAGGTTCGAACCCTGCTCACAGCGAAGGAATCAGAAGCTGATTCAGGCAAGACTTTAGATAAATCTTTATAAAAGAGTCATGGTTGGAAGAGCTCCATCCGGTTAAGACTGGGGGGCTTAATGAAAGTGTTAAAGGTTGTTTCAGGTTTGATTAAATCGTGTTTCATGAAGGTAAATAAGAAATAGATATATGAATATTGTTGTAGACTTTTGAGACTAATTCATCTCTATTAAAGAAAAACTGTTACAGAATGTCAGCTGATCTTATTGCAGAACTTTAGGTATTCATGAAAACACTGTAAAATATTTACAGAGGATCAGAACGACAGATAATTACAACTGAACAAAGTCTTCAAGTCGTAAAAAAATATTATCTTATATGGAACAAAATGATGGTTGGCTAATGTTTGGCTCCAGCTATTTTTTTTTTATAAATTACTACAGCGTTTGAGAGCTTTGAATGTCACGAAGATGTGAATTACTTACAGTTCTTGGTCAGTAGGTGGTTAAAAACACTGAAGACTCGGTCTTGTTGAAGAATGTGGTGTTCAGAGGAGACTTGAATGTAACAGAACCACGAGATATGAGACACTTAGCCAGCAATATCTGATCACAAGTTGGGACTGTGTTCTTAATATTCCAATAGAGTTATAACTTTGCAGCTATCTACATAGACGCTTTAATTTGTTTTTACATGACATGGAAATTAACCCTTACAGGAAGAGATCTCATGCTGAAACAAGAGCTCCTTTTGCTGTGAACAGGGATTGAACCTGCACAGACAGAACAACCCTTTAACCACTCAGCTGGTTGTACTGGAGCATCTATATGTAAAAACAGCAGACCCAGTCACCGGCAGGCTCATGGAAACAAGAACAGATCTTATGGAAAAATGTTATAATGGTCATAAAAAGATAAACTTTGGATATCTAACATATCATTTAAAATCCTACAGATTTGATCAGAAAGTTCCTAAAAAAGTGCCTTCAGCTTATTTTGTGTTTTTGGCACCAATCCTATATATATATATATATATAG